GAAAATATATTTACTCATCCGTGTGATGTATTTGAGAAGGCGTGCCACCTTAAAACATAGAACATAGATTATCCAAAATACTCTTCTCTTTATACTCTCCCAAAACATTTCAGATCACTTAGATGATATACTCTTCTCCAAAATGGAAAATTTGCCGCAAGGTAAAGAGTAATCCTCAAAGCAAGGGAGTGGATTCTATATTTGAAGATTTCAAATCTGTCGATCTCATATCACAAGAGAAATGTTTTTGTGACATTGGTCACTTTAAACGTTCTATAGATAAGTTACCAGGGCTGAATTTCACTGACTTTGGACCAGTTTTGCTTTAGGTATGAGAAGGGATTTTCCGTGTAAACCCTTACCCACCCCGGTAAAGTAAAAATTAGCTTTAGCAGCATACATATACGTTTTCTGGCTGATAGCACAATTCTCGCGCAATACAGTATTGGAACATGCGTACCGTTCGTTGCAATTGGATTTTCACTTGATTAGTATGCCTGTTACACATAATGTAAAACATTAATGTTATTCTTGTTTTTCTGGGTTTTTTGTTTTGCTTTTTAAATCAAAGATCCAGCGGTGATCACAAACCCGGGAAATCAGACATTTAGTAAGAAACCTGGAGAAGAGGTTAGCTTTTCTTGTTATAAAGACGGTTACCCAACACCAACAGTTACCTGGACAAAGGACGATGTCGTCATGAATTGGAAGTCTGAAGATAATCCCAGTAAAGTGATTTTTCAAGTAAAAGAGTCTAGCCCTGGTTGGTATCGCTGCAAAGTCGAAAATGAATTGAACATGGTTTTCAAATGGTTTCACCTCAGTAAGTAGATTTGATCCAATGTTATTAAACGAAGTGATTTTGAAATGGGTCTTGCGTTTCATTTTGATAATGTTACAAATACTTTTTTTTAAGCATGGTCTCTTTCGTGAATCAACGTAAAGTAAAAAACCAATTCACATATGTGCATGTAGGTGTTTGTGTATGTTCCCGATGTGAATTTTGAATTTTTTCTTTCTAAAGTTGTATCTGACGATAAATTCAACATAAAGTTAACCGTCACGAACAGAGATTGCAGCGGTAATCTTCAAGAAACCCTTCAGCTACTACAGTCTAAAGTAAGTAAAATAAATTAAGGCGATTTACAACAACCGATCGAAGAAAAAAACACGTCAGAATAAGTATACCAGGGGGTCAACTGTGGAGTAAATTTATTGTGGACAAAATCACATAGGTTAAATAAAGAGCTAACCAAAAACTCACCATACCATTAAAGGACTGCGACCATTTAACTTTTTAGAGCCTTCTGATTAGCTGAACTAACTGGCCAGTGACCGCTTTTTTCACTCGCCTACCTTATGTAAACACAATTTTTTCGGCCCATTCAGGTGAAAACGTTTTAGTTTGGGTTACTTCACTAAACATACTTTACTAAAAAAATTATTCTAGTCAGGTTTGCCTGAGTAGAATAATTGTAGAGTAAAGATTAAAATTATCATAACGAACTCGGAGTCACGTACGCGCTTCCTTCGTTATAGATCATCATCATGTTGAATTACTCTAACTCGGCAATTCAAAATAGAGAGAAAGAAGTGGAATTTGTACCCGAGAAGACTAGGATATTTTAACGTATTCTATGTGCCTCAAAGTAACTTACCTTATCAGAGCTTATTAATTGATGGACTTTTTCTTAATCCCTGAATAGGTGGGTGATGTTCTTAGATTAGAGTTTCCGTCGTTGGAAGCGGTAGAAGCTACAGAGTACAAGTACGATGTTGGATTGTAATATAATACTTCTCAAACTTTGTGATTCGTTGTAGAAGGCTATAAGAGAGTCATCTACAGAACATTGCTGAATCAGCGCTCGCCATTTTGCGTATTGAATTCCTTCCGGTTCAGATGTTCCTGTTTAGAACATTTTTATGAACCTGGGGAAAACACTGTATACTATTAGCAGTCTTTGCGTCATTCAAAGCTTTAATAGAGCTTGCAAAAGGGAATTAGAAGCACTCATTTGGTCGCCAAAATTATAGCTTGCATACGAGCTAAACAATTTGTTGAGTTTGCCTTCATGTTACTCGACGAGGTGGAAGTTTTCTGGGATTTTCTTTACATGTTAAAGTGTCGCTCCATTATTATCCCCAGGTGCGGCAGTATAACTGTCTATCTCTCATTGGAATTCAATCAAAATGAAGAGATAAGCAAAGTTCTGTCAGTTCTAAGCAAGGCTGTTACACCTGGAGACAAAGGTATTGGAGACTTTGCAGTTGACCCGGGATCAATCCAAGCGATATCTGATGATGAGATACCTTCTGATGCACCATCTAGCACCACAAAAACAACCATTACCTCAGAAGACCCAAAAGGTAAAGATGCGTGGAAAGTCGTGAGGAAAATTCTTAACTGTGAAGAAAATAATTTTGCTTTGGCAACCTCAGGTTATACGTAACCATCCTAATTATACATCAACAATTAGATGACCATTCCGGCTGCGGTAGCCCATCGTCATGTTTTGATTGCGCTGAGTAAAATGTTTTCTGCTGTTGATGATTTTTTGAAATTGATTGACTGGTCAATTTGACTTTTGCATGGAAAAAGACAGCATGTCGACACCTGTGATCGTGAAATCGGATAATATGTGATTGGTCAGTAGATATCTTACTCTGTAAATCACTTTATCATATAGCTAGCAGCGCACGTGGGCAAGATGAAGTGAATCCTGTGTTCTGACTGGTCACCTCAGCGGGCATGATGGGCCCACCCTCGCCCGCTTGGGATTCCCCGTGTTGATCCCACGTTAGAGAACTTACAAAATTCGTAGCTTTTGGACAATGTCGGCATAAACATAGAAAAAATAAACGACCCTCTTGGGTTATTGTGTTGCAAACACAGTTGGCTTTCACTATCGGGTCTCGAAATTAACAAGCCATTCTTGATTCTTATCAAAGAGAAATCTTTTGCTACACAATGAATCTTTTAATGATTAAGCCATGAGAATACAAACTCTCTTGAGCAAGCTTGTTCGGTCGAGGTGACTGGATATCAGCCTCGTTCTTTTCCTACTTTTTTTATGGACCGAGACTTCGTCTCAGTCCATAAAAACGCAAAAAAAGAGAACTCGGCCAATATCTAGCCATTTTGACCTCACGCTTGGTCAATAACGCATATGAATATATTTTATGCAGACCCATACAAATCTGGCAAGGGAAGATAGTACAAAAAATGCTCTTCCGAGCCCGGAATTTGTCTAATGTATAAGTTGGTGGACTTCCTTTTCCTTGTAATTCGGTTCATGAAGCGTTAACTTCAGCTCTGATTACACAAGTATATCGTCAAAATCTGTTACACTTAAGAGTCTGAGCCAACGATATAAAGAGAGCTATTTATCAGCGTTCTCATTGCTTTTGCGTCCGCCAATTTGATGCCAAAAGCACATTAGTATAAGGTTTTTGTCTCAACCTACGTCTTAAGCAAATAAAAAGACGCTGATTAATATCAGCGAGCACGCAATATGCCATGAATATTGGTCAAAGGATTCTTTGGTGCGACAGCTGTCTCTTTAACACCGCAATATTAGCGCAGTTAAACGATTGCATTGGAGGCTTATTACATTTAAGACCGAACATTATTACATTTAGGGCTTGATTACATTTAGGACCAAATGTTATTACATTTAGTACAGTTATTACATTTAGGACTTCAACATACGTTTCATATTAACATTAAGATCCTAGAAATATGGCTTAGTAAAAGCATTTTATACCGGCGTAAATCTTCCACGAACAGAAGACCAGTTACGAACAGGCTCAGGTTTATTTAAAAGTGGAAAAGTTCCACGCTTGTTTAACATCATCTTCAGTATATGTTTATGTTTGACTGTTACCATATTTTGTAGAATATGAAAAAATCCGAGTCTGTCTTTGTGAGTAAGTGTAAATGAATCGGTCTACAAATTTTTATTTGACAGAGATGAACATTTGTGAATGTTCTTGCAAACACGTTTTACTTGGATCCATCATCGGAGTTCTTCTTCTATTCAATCTCATTCTCGTTATCCATGTGGTTTGGATCCACAAAAAAGGTGAATGATTCTTGGTTTCCCTCGAGTTGCCATCTAATTCTCCCATGCACTTTTTGTTTCGTAACTTTGCCCTCATCTTTTATTTTTTCTTTCGATAGACACTGCGGGAAAGCGAAGGTGAGTCTTATTGCCATTGTGACGAGGGTTGCTTTCTTTAGAGCAAAGCATTTGTTATAGTTCACAATGATAACTGAAATGCTGAAAGCAGATCTTCGGATTTCCTTTTAGGTTCTTGCTAGTGCTCTATGACTCACATAAAAAAATGAATGACACAACAAATAAGTTTCAGTATCAGTACGAACAGCTGGTTGGACAATTAACAAAATTCCCTCTGAGTTTTGCACATTTTAATTTCTTATTATTTAATGTTGGTGGAATCTTAAATTTGTCGTTGTAATCATGTATTTGTAGTTTGAGTTAAGACTGCAATTTCTTTATCTTCTTAGACTTGACTTAGAAACGACCACGTCAGCCACGTTGCAATTTTATCATGTATAAATGAATGCTTTCATATTATTACTGTAATCATTATTATCATCATAATGTAGTTTTAAGATGAAAAAAATTATATCAATAACATATAAAGGACTGAATGCAAATTTGCACTTGTTACAGCACAAGTACAAAACAGTTATAAACACTAAAAACACTTTACCCTCGCGTTTTGTTTTATTTTAGACGAAATGAAGACAGCAGAGAAGCATATTATGTAAGAAAAGTTCTGATTATATGAAATACTCCATTTTTCCCATTTTTACTGACTCTTTTATGCGAAACAAGGTGACTTAACATTAGAAAAAAAGACCCTTAGCGTTAAAATTTAAGCGAAGTTTAGACTTAAAAGGTAGGAAATTTTGAAGTTTATGTGTAAGGAATCAAAGAAAACTGTTCCTTTCTTTTTCTTCATCTTAGAACGAAATGCCGATGAAAGATCAGGAGGGCGACCGCTCAGATGCAAGACATTTTATCCAGTCTCGCGCCGAATACATGGATCTCAAAGAAATAAGTGCCGAACGCAATACTAAGGAACAAAGCGCTCATCAAATGGTCGATTACGCGCCTCTACATCCATCAACACGCTCTTGGGAGGTGCCAAGGGATCACGTGTCTGTAGAAAAAATCATTGGTAAAGGTGCTTTTGGTCAGGTTGCTAAGGGAACAGCTGAGCAACTTCGAGGGAGACCTGGGACAACTACAGTGGCTATTAAAATGCTCAAAAGTATGATGTTACATTTCTCAAAAATTGTTTATATCTTCTGAAATTTTCATGTTGGCAGTATTGGTTCTTACTCTCCATGCTTTTAAGATGCTTCCTACTGTTTTTATTTAACTGTGAGAGTGATAATACTTGCAGTATTAGACACGCTTGACGCGCGTGCAAATCCTAAGCACTGTAAGTGTGCAACGGTCAAACTGCACGTCACTACGCGCACCTCAGTGTATTAGAAAATGCACGCGTGACAATGAAACGCTAACTTTGTGTAAATGTGTAACCTACACAAAGTTAGTCATCTCTAACTCATTTAATGCATGTTCTGAGACAAAAGTATGTGTAAGAAAAACAAACAAATTGGAGTCATTCTTCTTCTTAAGAAATCAGACGAGAATGAGCGAGTCACTGTATTTTTTTGGGTCTCTTATGAATTGAAAACATGTGTGTTGTGACGATAAGGTTTTCGCGCACTAAATTTGACTTAAAATTTGATTTGAAACGTACAAGACGGGGGGAAATAACTCGGTAGAGACCACTCGGCTTACAAGAACGGAAACGTCACGACTTTCCGGCACACGGAGATCTACTTCGAGCGAGCTTGTATGGACGTCGAGGATGAGACAGCACTTTGGTTCCACAGTAGACTTTATTCGTAGAGCACTCTTAACACACGTCATGCCAGAGTCAAAACGAAACTTGTCATCATCACGCGGTCGTCTATGTAATCGGCACGCCGTCGTGTTTATAATCGGTACGCCGTCGTGTAGGTGATCGAAAAAACTTTGCAAAGTACGTGCTTAAATATAAACTGGTGTGAGGTTCCATTGTTCTCTAAATCTACCATATTTGAACAGTATAACAAAAGAGGCGGAAAATGTTTCTTTGAAGTTAGACAAAAGCTATCCTAAATATTCCATCTGTTTCTACGACGAAAAGAATGTAAAACTAAAAAGACGGATGCAATAAACTCGAGGCCATTAAAATTAGGAAACTTAGGTGAGAATTCACAGCTCTGGTATAGAAAATATACCTATCTTAATTGCAGTAGAGCAGCTCAGCAAATAAAAGTGGAAAAGTAATTAAAAGTTTCTGCTTATCTATGCAAGGTTGGTGTGGAAACTATCGTATGAAAGGAAATTAAAATTACGAGTATAAACTCAGCTGCTAACTACCATGAGAACCAATTTTTCCAGAAAGACCGTTAACACTCATATTTACCTAATATTTCACCAATAATGATGAGTGAAGAATAATCGCCGTTTTGAACTGGTGATTCGCCTCTTTGAAGCAGCGATTGTACTACTTTCCAAAGAAACTGCCGGCTCATTAAGCCCAATAGGGCTTCCATCATTTCCATGTTAGCAATATCTTTTTGCTTGTCTTCGTGCGAAGCAGTTTTACACTCGTATATTCCAGTGGTTTAACAGAATATTGTTTAGAGATGGGCTCATTTCAACCTACTTTCACCTTAAATTCGATCGTGTAGAAATTTTGTCATTTTTGACTTTGAGCCATGGAATACGTTTAAGCTTTCGTCAGTTGAAAAGAATACTGAGAAATCAAGGTCTATTTCGAAGACGAAATTATAGCAACCCACATGAGATTGAAACTGGGATTGTAATTGGGAAATTTGTAGAAGTGGGAGTTCCATTGGCTATAGATTAATGCACCACAAACTCAGAAATGATTATGACCTTGCTGTTGACAAGGAAACTGTGCGCCTTATTCTTAAAACCCTGGATCCAAAAGGTTTTGAAAGAAGACCCAGAAGGCGTTTAAGAGGTAGGAAGTACTATGCCAAAGGACCAAATTACATTTGGCATATAGGTGGATATGATGAGCTAAAACCCTTCGGTTTTTGTATTCATGGTGCAATAGATGGATACATGCACAGTCGCCGCATTTTGTGGCTTGAAGCCAGTATCACTAACAATGATCCCAGCGTCATAGCGGAGTACTATTGTGACTGCATAAAACAAGTGAGAGGTGCTCCGAGAATTGTCCGCGCCGATGAAGGTACGGAGAACTGCAATGTTGCTGGAATTCAATGCTTTTTCAGAAGGATTGGCATTGATTCCTTCGCGGGCGATGAGAGCTTTAATTTATGTATGGACGTTCAGTTTCCAATCAAAGGATTGAAGCTTGGTGGTCTTTTCTACGTAAAACTGAGTCTGATTGGTAGATCAAACTCTTCAAGGATGCTCGGGACGCGGGCACATATTGCGACAGTAATCCAATCCATGTGGAATGCCCGAAATTCTGTTTCATGCACTTAATCTAAGACGAGCTTAAACACGTGGCAGAAGAATGAACTCTTCATAGGATTAGGCCATGTAGAAATTCCGACTCTCCAGCAGGTCGCCCTGACGTTCTATATTTTCTTCCTGAACTCGAAGAAGCCAAAGATTACTCTACTCCAGTGCCAAGCGATGAAATCGATCTAGCTAAAGAGGTATGCTGTGATCAACTCAATGAACAGCCGGCCCCTAGAGAGTTCGTGGAGTTGGCTCACCTCATCATGGATGTAGAGGATCTGAGGATGCCAGATGACGCAGAAGAGGCACTGAGGTTATATATAGATCTTGTCTATTGCCAATCATGGAAGTTATCACAAAACGAAACGAAATAGTACTCTTCCTGGTAGAAAGAAGCACTTTCTCATTACTTTTCGTGAGCATTCGGTCTCACGGCTTGAAAAACAGATGTAGTTAACTTGCGCATCATGTACCACTACACGTTCATACTAACAACATGCACATAATGTAATTATACCCTGACAATGTTACTCTAAAGATGGAGAAAAAATCCTTCGTGTCACGGTCTTCTTGAGGGAGTAGCACATTTTAGAATAACAACTAAAACTGACGTTTACACCGAAACATAAAACAGTGATTGCCAAAGATGCAATTTATATGTATCTTTTCGCAGTTTTAATTAACGAGTCAGATGTAAATTTCAAGAAAAATATTCTAGAGCATACCTCTTTTCCCTTGTTTTTTTCCGTAAGTTAGATAATCAAGGTCAAGTCGATTACTTTGGCAACGACTAAACCCTTTAAAAAAAATCCTTAGCTGCCTCGTAACGTTTAATTGAAAGTCTGGTTTCCCCCTAACTTGACTAAAGATTGCATTTCAGTGTTTCAATGTAGTAAACTTGTACATAAAAGAACCTCTGACAGTGCTTCCACCAAGAACTGTGGAGCCACTTGTTGATATTATGTGCCATGTGTAAGATCGTTTTCGCATGCGTCAATTATTAGTTTTTCGTGCGTATCGAAACTTAGCTTTCTCTGTTCAGGGCCCTTTCCTTTTCGGTAGTTTATTCTTCATTTCGTCTTCGGACAGTGTTTTTTCGTCAAGCGCAGTTTTGCAGTAATCGTAACAATCTAGTTTTGTCGTTTCAAGTTGGCTCAGTGTATTTCTTTCTGATCACCTTTACTTCATCAATTGTGGTAATTTTGTATTTATTTATTATTTTACGTTTCAACCCACATCGTTCACCGTCAATAAATCGCCTATTTTATCAGTAATTGTAGTGTTAAGAAGTTACGATTGCCGCAGTCACACCATGATAGAACACTAATAAAACCAAATTTATCAAAACATTAACGAGCATGCGGCATTTATCCTTGGTTCCTTTTTTGGCTTGCCTATAAAACTTACAGTGTATTTACGGTACGGAGACTCTGTAAAACCCACGGCTCACGAATTAAACTGAGACCACAGTTCATCCGGATGATTCTTAGGGACCCCATCTACTATCCATTGTAAGAAACACAGGGGTCTCAGAACAAAAATTAATCGGCTAAGCTAGCTTAATCAGTTTATTTTTTTAAGTCTTCCCCCCAAGAGGGGCAATCCTCACTTCAAATCTTGCTAAAACAAGATATCTCCTATCTATGATGCTCACCTTTTCGGTCTTCGGCAACAGGACGTGTCCAGGAACACTCTTAGAAGCTAGGGAATACGCCCATAACGCTCGACTTGCAAAAGAAAACCATGATGGCACTTGTGATGATGAAGCCGTGTGAAAAGATTTTACAAATTACCTCAAAGGCACTTCTAGCCCCATGCAGATTTGACGGCGAGGCAAAAGGCAACACGAATTTTTCCCCATTAAAGTGCATATCAAAGGAAAGCTCCTGAAATGCGGATCTAGAACATATCCTGAGTTAGGTCTCCACAGCAATCTTCACGTACCTTCTTTGTCTGTAAAAGTGACTTTTATAGGGGAAGACACCACTTCATCATTCTCATAGTATATCAAAAAGTCGGGCAATACTTTCTCTGGAAACTTGGACAGGCGCGTCACCGGCCAATTCTGAATAAAGTTTCTAGCGCAAATTTGCGTTAGAAAATATCCTGTTGAGATGCACGTACTTAATATTTTATTCCTTTACAAAAGTTAGACTGTCGGCACTAGGTTTTACGACTTTCCGCCATATGGTAATGTTTTACTGTATTATAAATTTGTGAGCGGCATCGAATCAGTGATGATTTACATGATATTTTGATCAGGTATAATTTTCCATTACCACCCATACCCTGTGTGTTTTAAAATGAGCCCATCTCTCTGACCAACGTTCTGTTGAACCACTGGAATATACGAGTGTAAAACTGCTTTGCACGAAGACAAACAAAAACATATTGCTGAGAGAGAAACCAACATGAAAATGATCGAAATCATATTGGGCGTAATGAGCCGGCAGTCTCTTTGGACAGTGGTACAATCGCCAGTTCAAAGTGGCACTTGCGAACACCAGTTCAAAGTGGTGATTGCCCTTTCAAAATCTTAACTTGTTTTATCTCCAGGTAACGCTGCAGAATCTGACAAGAGAGATTTGACGGCGGAACTTGACACAATGAAGCAGCTAAAACCACATCCTCACGTCATCAAACTTTTGGGATGTGTTACGGAATCTGGTGAGCTGATACTTGCAGCTGTTTACTTTATTCGTGCATGACGTCACACTTTTGGAGATTAATAGAAAACGGAGATCACGAGGTTGTAGTGGGTTGAGTTTATGAGGTTACTTAAACGCTTTTTTCAAATGAAATTCATCAAAATTGATTTCCCGCCGAAACCGGTCAAAAGAAAGGCAAACTGGTTACTAGATCAAAAAAAGAAACAAAAACAGAAATAGTCTGCCAGAATTCAAAGTACATATATATAAATCGTGGTTATAGTCTATCCGTGCGGTATAGTAATCGATGCGTCCGCAGAGCGTGGTATATCTGAAACTTGAACTAATCAAAAACACATGACTTTTTCTGTGACTCTGACTTTCATGCTTACGCGATCATCAGATAGATCTTAATGAAAAGTATACCTCACTTAATTTAAATAAATACTGATTTAAATCTCGAAAATGCCCCCCTAAACATGAAGATCTAGAAAGATTCGAAGCGGACCTCATGGACATGGTAAACAACATCCAATTCAGAGACACACAAGACGAATTTCAAACCCAGCTAAATAGGGACATACAAAGAATCAAAAGCTCTACGAAAGCCTTCATCCCCGCCGACAAAACAACTAACCTCTACGAACTCGACGAAACTCAGCACGAAAAACTAATGCAAAACAACTTAACGACAACCCACAAAGAGGCGAGCAAGGACTTTTTTTAACAATATTAGCCAAGAAGCAAAGGCCATAGCAACGCAACTCGACATCCAGGACCGAACTGAAGACTAATCAACCCAGTCAAAAGCGAATAAGTAAACAAATTCTCCAAAGAATCGACACCGACGTAAGAAACAAAACTTCACTTAACCAATGGAAAAACTCCTCCACTGTAATCGACTGATTCAAAAATATCTTCGACAAGCATCTACACACCTTCACCGTATTCAACATCGAAAGCTTCTACCCTTCCATATCTGATAAACTACTGACCAACGCCATCCACTTCGCTATGAAACGCACCAAGATCACCAATTAAGATATCGATATTATCATCCTCCAGAAAATCAATTATATTCCACAACAGATCACCAAGGGTGAAAAAAGACAACGACGATTTGTTTGACGTAACGATGGGAAGCTTTGACGGCGCAGAAGTATGCAAACTAATTGGACTTTCTATCTTGAACGACCTTGCAAACAAATACTGAACAAACAACATCGGACTCAACAGGGACGAAGGACTCGCCATTTTTAAGAACACCACAGGACCTCAAGTAGAGAGGACACAGAAAGAAATAACAAGGCGCTTCAAGGAACACGGACCGAAAATAACAATTCAAAGTAATTTAAAATCACTTGACTACCTCGCTATTACACTCAACTTGACGAACGGACTCTTCCAACCATACAGAAGACCGAATGACGAGCCGCTTTATATCATAACCACCCACCCACTGTCATCAAGCAAATACCCGCAGCCATCAATCGCAAATTATCATTATTAAAAGAAATAGTAAAAGAAACATCATTTGCTTTAACCCCCAATACAGCAAAAATGTCCAAACCAACGTCGCTAAAACCTTCCTCAACCTAGTCAAGAAACACTTCCCATCAAACCAACATCTCCACCCAGTCTTTAACAAGAATAATGTGAAAGTAAGCTACAGTTGCATACCGAACATGGGCAGCATCATTAACAACCATAACAACAACAACACCGCAACGCAAAACGGATGCAACTGTAGAAAAAGAAACCAATTCCCGCTAGATAACAACTGCCTCATCATTAGCGTAATCTACAAAACCAAGGTGACCACGGACAAAGACAACACAGGAAAGAACTTCATCGGACTAAAAGAAGGAACATTCAAACAACGATGTATGCAACATAGACTATCATTTCGCAACAGAAAATATGCTAACCGCACCGAACTAGCAAAATTGAACAACCACTGTATATATTTAAACTAAGTGAGGTACAATCTTCATTAAAATCTGTCTGATGATCTCGTAAAGAGGGGGACATGGTGGGTTCTAAATACCGCAACACCGCAAACAAAATAGAACAAACACCGCATCACCGCAAGAAATATTATCAACTCACCGACACCGCAAGATTTACCTGGTCTAAATTAAAAAAAAAAAAAAAGTCATCACCGTTACTTCTACTTTTCAAACAAAAGAAACACATCACAAGACATTCCTACCGCAGTCTCCGTGTGTAAAGTTCCTTGCTGTCGCCTACATTTCACTAGGCGACACTAAAAGAAGCCAAAGAAGTTACTGCTGCCAAGTGATACGACAGTGTTTCCGTTAGGTCAGTCTTGCGTCCTCTGAAGTTAGAATACATTCTCAAAAAAAGTGAAGTTCACCGTTTGCTTCCTTTGATCTCACGACTTTCGTTGTCTAATTTTTTTTGTTTTAAATCCATTTTCTATTTCATAGAAAAAGTTATACATTTAGTCATCGTGGTGACTAACACTATACCAGCTAAGTTTATCGTTTTTCTATCGATGTGGTCAACGATGATGTCGACTGGTTTTGCTTCATCCTATAAAGAACCGGGTGGTCCGCTTTCACTCATTGGTTTAACAACAGCTGCGATTGGCATATAAACTCAGGGAGATTGCCATGCTTTGCCATGGTCGTCTCTTGGCGCACTCTCCGCTGTCGCACTGCTGCTCCGTACGCCGAAGCCCAATTCCGCATAATATCGCAATTTGCACATCCAGTAGTTCGCAAGATTCCAACTAAAAATATATATTTATTTTTAAGTCGACGTCTTCCTTAGCGTTGCCGTCCTAATTGCTAAAGGTCCCCACAAGTGCCACAAGACGCGAGTTACTCTGCCCGCGAAAATATTTGAGACAATTCATCGCTAATTTCAGTGCTAGACAATTATCTCGCTACCAGGAATATTTGCCATCAGCGAGCTAGCCATCAAGGCAATCTCGCCACTACCAAGTCGCCATCAGTAAACTCGCCACAAAGGTTGCTAGCTAATTTGATATACATTTAAAGCATTAGGTGACTCTTCAGTTTGCTCTTGAGTCTCGTGGGCATCGCCATACGAATACCACGGGAAATACTGCAGAGCCTTACTAAAGGCTCGATAGTTTTTTCAAGATGGCGAAAGGTGAGTCAAATGCGCGTAACGATCGAAAAGGTACCAATTTGATCTGATTTAAGAGACGACAAGATATCAAACAAGCTATCAGATATAAAACAAAGTGTAGTCTGTAAATATTTAGAATGTACATCAAAGGGAAAGTGACAATAAACATTTAACGGAATGAGAACGAATAACAAGACCGACGAGAAATGTTATCGATCGCATGCATTTTTTGTCGACAAAACAAATGTTTCGAAGTTTGAAAGTTCACAAGGGGATCCTTTTTTATCCCATAAAAAACAAGGAGCAACAAGTTAGAGCTCCAGAAAACGTAAATTTATTTAATCAAACATTTAATAGCTCTATTTCTAAAAACTACAACGATGGTTACCGGATGAGTGTTAGGTGACGAGGTAACACGTCCTGGTCTGACAGACCTGGCATAATGTAACTGGGGACTAGTTAGGCACCATAGCATTAGTAACAAATATAAAGAAAATTTTTAACGTGATAAAAATCGTCATCATTTTTTACCTATTTTCTTAGAGCCACTGCTGGTGTTGATAGAATATGTTCCTTTTGGAGACCTGCTGGGTTATCTGAGAAAGAGCCGTGGATTAAATGACACTTACTATAAAGACCCGGATATCAAACCACAAACAAACCTGAGATCACAGCAGCTGATGAAGTTCGCATGGCAAATCGCTGATGGCATGAGTTACTTGTCGTCGAAATCTGTAAGTTTAAGAAGTTTGGAACTATTTGTCAGATTAACTCAGATAGAAATGGTTCTTAAGGTTTTTTTTCCAGAAATAATTCTGCTAATTAAACATTTACATAACATGTAATTGAGGAGTTTTGTATCTGTCGAGTACTCGAGTGTCGAGTAGTGGAGTTATCATTAGCAGGGACACTTGTCAGCAGAGCACTCAGATTTGAATAGTGATGATAATCATAATTTTTACAATGACATTGATAGCAATGATGATGATGATGATGTCAATATTAATGATAGTTACAATAATGATGAATATCATTATCCTTCTGAGCTGGGGTAAATAATTAGGATTAGTGCTTTTGTTTGCTTGTTACAGGAGGAATTTCGGATTTCATTGATTTCATCGTGGCTATACTGCCTCATATTAGAGAAAAAGTCACATATGTCGTCGGAATTAGTTAGTGAGTGTCCCGGTGTTACTTATTGTTTTTTTCGGAGTATCTCAGTAGTTTTATATTCGCACCGAGTACTCAGTTGAGTTCTTTATTTTTGGGATTCTTAGCTTATTGCTTCTAACGCTTTTTATGTTATCATCCTTGTAAGTCCGTAGGTAAGTAAGAAATTCCGAGACTTTTTGGAGGCTGTTTAAGAAATCCCAAGCAACCACTTTAGAATTTACCGAAGTTAATTTAATCGATTTCACCTTTAACAGCAGCTTCTTACAACTAATACCTAGTAATGTTGAATCAAATGTCACCTTATGAGTCAACAGATATGAAACACGAGCCGTAGGAACAGTCAAAGTTCATTGCTGATTGACTTAACTCAATCATCTTATGTAAACGTTGGCAGCTACCGCATCTGAAAGAATGTTCTCAATAATAAGAATACCGAACCGATTTTAACTGGATGTTCCTCCGATATCTCCTATAGTTTACCTCTGACTATCTCCGTTGTTCAACGTTCGTTCCTCATATCATCGAACACAACCGCATTTGAATCAGCAAATTATGCCCAATAGATCCGAAAATGAACATTTTTCAGGTTTTTCCGTGATACTACGAGAACTATAAACATCTCAAAATAAATTCATAGTCTCGCAGACGCATAGTTATAATTACGAACAAAACCATACTTTTCTTGCAGAAATATCTAAATAGGTGTGATCTGCCCGTCAAAGAAACTTTGAGGAAAAATTTTCCTCTTTGAAGGAAGAACATCATATCGTTTGAATGCACCACATATACCCAAAAGAGTTGCTAATTTAGGAAGCGAACAATGAGCGAAGTTTGATAGGCTGATCCTATTCAGCAGAATGATGGAACGGTAAATTGGTGCAATGGCAGTATTGCGCACTATCCATAAACAAGCAATGACGGAATATCCCAAAACGCGGAATGCCTTGCTGTATGAAACAAAAGTCTCACAAAGATAGAATTGTGATGAAATAAGAATATTACTTAAAAATAACAGGTGAACATTAAAGAGGAATTGTGTAGTAATTTCGTTAGTGCCCATAGGATGGAGAAACCGGGAGGCTTTTAAGCTGCTCCCTCTAAATTGTCATTATCGTTATTATTATATTTATTATTGTTGATATGATTATTTGTTACCGTTTAATTAAATGTCAACTAATCACAGGAAGTGATATGGGAAGTTTATGTTTCAGTTTTTCCGTATTACAGTGCTCGACACATAGAAGTGGAGCGTGATATAAATTGAGTTAGGGGGAAAAAAAGAGACTAAGCTTTGTTCCGACACGCCTGTTTGGTGATTAGATCATGTTACGGGAAAATTTACTGATTTTCCGTGTGTTTGTTTGGAACATATTTATTTGTAAACTTTTAGAATTCAATAAAGTTCTTTCATTCTAGTAAGTAAAAAAAAATGTATAAAAACCACAGTAGCTTTTGGAATAGATTTTGCTTGTGTTTTGCTTTTGTTATTTATTACAGGGTTTTTTTAAGCTAGTATAAGTGTTTATGGTCTTTCTGGAAAAATTGGTTTTCACGGTAGATAGCGGCTGAGTTTATACTCGTAACTTTAATTTCTTTTCATACGATAGTTTTCACACCAAACTTGCATAGATAAGCAGAAACTTTTGTTTGCTTTTCCGTTTTTATTTTTTAAGCTGCTCTGCTGTAATTAAGATAGGTATATTTTCTATACCAGAGCTGTTAATTCGCACCTAAATTTCCTATTTTAATGGCCTCGAGTTTATTGCATCCGTCTTTTTAATTTTGAGATTCTTTCCGTCGTAGAAATAGATGGAATATTTAAGTAGCTTTCGTTTAATTTCAAAGAGACTTTTTTCCGCTTCTTTGTGTTCTTATTCAAATACTGTGATTTGTGTAACAATAGAACCTCACACCAGTTCATATTTAAGCAAGTACTTTGAAAAGCTATTTCGATTACACACACGACGGCGTACTGATTACATCCACGACGGCGTACCGATTACACAGACGACGGTGTGCCGATTACAGATTTAGTTTTGACTCTAGCATGATGTATGTTAGAGCGCTCTACGAATAAAACTCTATTGTGGAACCAAAACGCTGTCTCTTCCTTGACGTCCGAACAAGCTCACTCGAAGTAGATCTCCGTGTACCAGGAAATTGTGACGAGTTTCCGTTCTCGCCAGCCGAGTGGTCTCTACCGAGTTCATTCCCCCCGTTTTGTACGTTTCCCGCGAAGTCAAATTTAGTGCGCGAAAATCTATCGTCACAATCACTCCTCAGGGGATTTTGTCTGAAAATATCATATGATATTAGCTCTGTTATTGTTCAATGCCATAAAAATTCTGCTTTATCAGTAGCCACACGTAATCTCAGACGGCCTTTTTTTCTCTCCATCCGTTAGATCATCCACAGAGACCTCGCAGCTCGTAACGTGTTGGTCGGAGAAAGTGAAACTTGTAAAGTAACAGATTTCGGAATGGCTAGAAATGTACAAGAGGAAAATATCTACGAGAGAAAGACAAAGGTAATAAGAAAGAAATAAGCTTTGCTTCATCACATGAAATGTATTTGTCATAACTGTGCTCTATTCTGTTGGATCACTTTCATTCACTTCTCCTTACGGTTAGAATAGTTCAAATAATCTGATTGGCTTTACATGACTAAAGTTTTCAAAAATGCCAAACCATCAAAGTTCAAAAACCATCAGAGGTCATATTCTGCAATAATTCACAAACTTAAATAGTTTGGCAGGTCGAAACTAACACTTTTTGCTAGAAGTTTTTTAGTCTCTAACCTGAAAGTGAAATGTCCACTGAAATCCGGCCAAACTATGACTCATAAAAAAGCGACATGACAACGGGGAAACATATTGCTCAAAGCGTGTGTTTTATGAATGAACAACAGCCGAAATCATCGGAACATAAAAATTGCTCGGGATGACAGCGCCTTAAAACTCTGCTGCAGTGACTGATGTGGCCTTCCACTCAACACATCGGAAATGATATCAGAGCAAGTTCTTAGCTGTTCACTCGAAGGGCGGCCGATGTAATTTCTGAGGCTTGCTTCAAAGCGATGACCGGAGATCGCCATAATGAGCTAACCGCGTTGGATCTCAGCATGATCGCGGTCGCTTTGACACGTTCTTTCAACCAATTACAGCACACGTCATATCCAAACTGAGTATTCCATCCCGATTAAGGTGGACCTTTTGGAGCTCAAAATTAAAAGTAGATATGCTAAGCAATACCCTTATCGAAAAACAATGACCATGTAGCTCTTTCAAGCTACAAAATTAGCTCTGGAGTTAACGATACTTTATTCCCAAACGCGATGCTTATAAAAGCTGAAAAAGAAGCTCAGTTTGTTGACTTCAACTGAGCCCTTGCGACGTTGGAGACGGTATCCGGTTTGATCGCACCATGGTTAGATCGTTCCACTCGAAATTTAGATCGCTCTATCAAATTAGTGACTTCGCTACCAACATAAGGTACTTTTCTCCGTGTGGTAATGTGAAGTATTACTTATTAATGACCTTTAAAGTTTATCGGTGATTATGTGTCTTCCGACGATTCGAGTACATCGTATTCACTCTGTCCTTCAGATTAGCCACCGAGCTACCGATGCATGATGTATAGTGATGGTGGAATAAATAATCATTCAAATAAATGATCATTCAAATACCAGTACTGTCCAATGTGGCCTTTTTGGCTTTTTGATGTAAGGAAACTGGTTACTACCATCTTTAATTAATAAAGTAGATTACACTTCGTGAGTCCCTCACATGAGGCTTTATTTCTTCTTTCTGCGTAGCTCATATCTATTTCAGGCGCACACGAGCAATATAAATCGATTGTTAGGTACAGTATGCACGTTATTTGATGAGCTATCAATTTAAATACCTTAGTTTTGTTACTTTTACGTTAAATGTCCCAAAAAAATGGGGGGATGTTCAAAAGAGGATTTTGTCACAGTTTTTCAAAATCATACAACTTTCAGAATCTTCAACAAAAAGACGAGCAATTTTCTTGGTCGTAAAGTTAATTAAACAACAATTCAAGCATGCTGAATCTACTACGCGTTCTCGTACCTGTAGGAAACTCCTTCATTTTTCGATTCTGAGCAGAATATTTTACGATTCTTTGAATAAAGACCTTATCTCGAAATATTTCTTGTTCGTTTTGGCCTTGTCAGTTATTCACAGCTGTTGGTTAGAACTCGATTACCAGGTAAACCCGACACAGTTGTAATAAACTCTTTTTTCGTGCACAATTTGTGTCTGCATGCCGGAGTTGCTCTCGTCTACGCCTCCAGAGACTCTTACGCTTCTCTCGTGCTCTCCAAACTTCGCACAAAGCATGAACCAATTCTTTAATTTAACCGATCGCTTTAGCTCTTGCTTTTCTTGCTATTGAAATATCTGCGAGTCGATTGACCGATCACATTTCCATTTGAACAAAAACCCCTCAGTTTTCTGCGAATTCTTCACCGATCACATTTTCGTCCCAAAATTCAACCAGGTGTAAAGGCCACCACATCCAGTTCATAATGAACCTCTAGCGTATCGTCCGTCGGCCAGATAAGATAGGGAGTGAAAGATGCATGAGAATAGGCTTAGTTCGTGGAGAATGTAGAAAATTAAGGCAAAATTTAAGTTATGATGTGGCTGATCACGTGTTGCAAAGACGGCGAAAAGCGCCCGTCATTTTTCAAGGGAAGCAGCCAGTATGCCTATACATGTAATCGATGAACTCACTTTGTGAAATGATGTCAATTCTGGCAGACGCAGGGCGAGATCAGCGGAAAGAATCGTTTGCTGTAAGTTTAACAGGATGGAATGGTCGTCCTAGGTTGGAAGTAAGCAAAGGTCAGCTTGAGCATTTAGAATGGCACGATTCTGGATATCTCTGGGAGTCTTGGCGCAAGCGTCAGTGCTATTAAAAGGCAACTCTGAGAATTTGACATTTCAAGTCAAGGAACCGTGGTGAAGGTTACTGATGCTATGCTGATCTTGATACTGTTTTGCGGAACATATTTAGCTGAGTTTCCAAAGGCTGGGTATATAAGAGTGCTGTCCCAGCTTAATTCTAGGTAGAAGTTTTGGATTCTGTAGATTTTGCTCAATGGTGAGCATTTGTGAATTTTGAAGTTACCTAGGCAACAGAGTAGAAAAGTGTAGTTTCTTGGAAAGAGATTGCCCCTTGGTGAGAATATTTGCTTCATTGAGAAAAGAGTCACGGTTTATGCACTGGCGATCCTGAATATCATAAAAGAGCGTCTCACATGGTCGTTTATCTTCCTCGGTCTCAAAGTTCTTAACTTAAACTTTTTTTCCATTCAAAATTTTAAGGGCCGCCTTCCAGTAAAGTGGACAGCTTATGAGGCGCTGTTGTATGGAAAATATACGACCAAAAGTGATGTGTAAGTCCTGTGAATTGAATTTTTCGCCATTTTCTATTTTCATAGCCGTAAAGATGCACTTGTGGCAGCAATTTCATAAAATCTATTGATGGTGATCCACAAGTCTTTAGTATAATCAAATTATTTACGTTGCTAAAAGTTGTACTACTGTCTAGGGACAGGAAAGCCGAATGTTTTAAAATGTCCGACAGTTGTTGATTTTCTCCATTGTCTTATTGCCTCATAGATGGAGCTATGGAGTTGTCCTTTATGAGATTTTTACAATAGGTAATACTTATTGACTAGTTTCAATGAATTATATTAGATTAGCAACAGAGAAAGTCTTACGCCCACAATATGTTTCAAATAGGTTGATGTTTTATAACATGAAGGGTGACTAGGGTTAGCCACTAATACTCGCTTGACTCTACTACCTTGTCCTATGCAGCAACTGATATCTGTTAAATGCATTCGCGCGGGAGGTGTTTCGAATAATTGGGAAGGGTAAAAATCAGGTAAGAATCGATCATTGGCTTGGTACGAACTGACTCAAACTTGGGTACCAAACGTCTGGGTACGGAACGACCGGATACCCTTTAAAAGGTGTTCTCCGTCTAAGAGGACGCGTCCCACGTCATATATTAATTTTGATCATTTCTTCAATTCGCTGCATAAAAATCTAAGCATAGAGTTATGCTCGTGTTGCAATAGTCTCCCAAGTTACTTTATATCAGGTGGTTCACCGTATCCGCGGATGGATGGCAGGAAGATTGCCAACTTACTTCAGCATGGATACAGAATGCCTCAGCCACCACATGTGGATGATAAGTTGTAAGTGCTAAAGTTTCTTTAAGACTGATACTCTAATGAGGCCTGAAAATATGTTACTGCGCCTTTGATTCTACTGAGGTATATTTAGTAAGTAATTAAAAAGCTTTAATCCAAAGCATCTTTTTCTTCTTCAGTAATTAAATTAATCGCTTACTTTATGGAAATGTTCATTCTTTAAAATTTGAAAGATATCAGCATATCGATTAGCATATCCACATTCGAGAGAATGACAAGTTAAACATTTTTGTGCGATAACAATGAATTCATCGTGAAAACAACTCACGTGTTTCGTTTCAATTTGATTTAATGTACTTTATGTATATCAAGTACCAACCTGTGTTATATGAAACGTAGGTACGACATAATGTTGAGATGTTGGCAAGATGACCCGGGTACAAGACCAACCTTCTTTGATCTAAGAAACCAGCTCAAAGCCATGGAAACATTGCACAAGGTAAACTTTTACATCCAGTTATATTACGAGGGATCATTATAAAATACGTGGAGTGATTTACTAATAAAATTCTTAATAACATCGAAGTGTTCATGATAAACGCGGCAACTATGTACCTGTACTCTTCATTAAGTTGCTTGATCAGCCAACTAAGTACAACTGAAAACTTCGTTTCCTTAGCTGCCATGGGTTTGAGCATTTTAGATGAGGTCATGCAGAAATAAATAATTCTTGATGGACATTAGAGAAATCCTCTTATACCTTTCTTTCGTCCACAGAGGCTGATCAATATGAAAATCTACGACAAGCAGTTGTACGCAAACGTTGAGGATTTGGTAGAGTAGGCGACGACAAGTTTTCAGCATTTGAGGAACGAGTTTATTCTCCTCTCATGGGCTAACGCTCTAAAAGATATAAGATCATAAGGCGATTAATTTCAAAGCTAATTTTAATGAAGTACTCACACCGTAGTAGCAGTTAACTTCATTAATTTAGTTTGCCTTCTAATCAGTTTTAGTATAAACCGGGCTTTGCATGACTAAAACAAAACATATTAAACAAAAATAAAAAATGAGAAAATTTTTTTCAAAACTGACAGGTAGTTTTGTTCTGTCAAGGATCCTTTCAAACCGTTGACTGGGTATGTAAATTTATATTGCACGCTTAAGCATGTATTGGTATTCGTAATTTTATCAGAAATGTGCGTTTGAGCGACCAAGTTTCTAGAATTGGTTCAAAAAAGGACAGCAAGGCATGTAGAGGGTTTTATAAGGAGAGATCCTTCCTTTGGAGGAGGTTATCTTTATTATCATAATCATCAATATCATTATGACTATTATTATTTTCATTGTTTTCATCGTTATTAACATTAGTATTTTTACGATAGTTATAATCATAGAAATTATCGGCGGTCCAATAAGCCAATCACATTTAAAGTTGCAGTTCAAATCAACCATTCAACAATTTACACCTCCTTTGTCAGTCTTTTGATGCAAATTTTCCCTTTCTTTCATAACTCGGCTTTTCTTCTTTTCTCGGAATTTGTAATTTTTGATTGATTGGTAATAGGACTCGTGATAAACAAATCGGACTCCCGGTACGCAGTCGTCCGATTTTGTTTTCACTCGTATGATTACAGACCGAATTGGACTCCACTTTATCCTGTTACCATTACTTTTCAATATTATTTTCATAATGAATATTCAGATTTTTCTAATTATCGTAATTTTTCTCACTCTTTTATTTTCCTATTACCATGCAGGTATTTTAAATATTTCTTGGTTCCTTTCAGAACCTCATTGTTGATCGACAGTATAAATAAGTATCAGTTTGCTTAATTCCAGCTATATATTAGAAATGCTTTCCGGTAATTTCGTGTATAGTCACGCAATCGAAATAACAATAGGGCTGATTTGATATGCAAATATGTCGAGTGATTTTCTTTGTGAGGCATTGGTTCAGACTGCAATGACATTCAGGACTTCAAAATATATTCAAAAGTGTTATGAAAGTAAGATCATAAGAACAACTGTAAGTCGGCCTACAGGTGTATATTTGTTAAAACAATAAACAACAAACGCTTGTAATAGCATCAAATTATTCAAATAACTTGGTTGTTTTGGATGGTGGCTTTAAAGAAGAACTCGGTTATCAAATTTCCAGAGGATGAATGATGAAGATTACTACAAGCACAAGCATTGCTACAAGCTTGTCACCAAGAAATCTTTTCAATTTTCGTCTTGACTCCCAAATTCTTTCAGTTATAATCTTTGACAAATTTCGTTGATCCATGACTGTTACCTGCCATAATGACCTCTTCTGCAAGATATTTCTTCCATAGTTCAGGCCGTGGTAAACCGGTTTTCGCTAGAGTATCGTAAAGAGTATTTACGCAGAGAAAAATATTTGAAATTAAACGAACATTTCCTCTTTCTCTGAAGAATCCAACGTTCTCCCTGTTTCCATAAACCTTGGTCCCTAAAAGCAAATAATGATGATAAACAAAGCTCACTTTGTTAACGTAGGCCCCCCCCCCCCCCCACCCCCCAACTGGCTTTCCTTTAGCAGATACTGATTAAAACGTACGACTTGGAGCGATATACAAACGTGATCATGGTCATGTTATATAGCTGTGACGTAGAAAACTGTGAAGATACGTCGGCAAGTATGGTGGAGAAAGGATTGAATTAAAATTATTGAATTAGATGGTAGCGAATCCAACTCCTTTGTGAAAGTATATGTATATGAAATATTCATTTACAATACTGATGTCAGTTATTTGCCATTGAGCAAAATGGGTCATATGGCAGTGCTGCACTTAAACTAAGGAAGTTTTTCTCTATTAAAATCCCTATTTGAGGTTAACTCGAATCAGATTTCTATGAACTCCTTCTTTTTTTCTGTTTGACCGGCTTTACGACGGTAGCCTTTGCCTTTGCAATCTCCGAGGAAAGAAGTAACTTGCCGTGAAACTGCCCGATGACTCCTTGGCGAAAATTCATCGTGCCTCGTGATACAACTGATTCTTTCGTCAAAAGTTAGCTTTTGATTTGCTTAAGGAATTACTCTACAGCAACGAAACTCTAGAGCACTGACCTAGGAGAACCCTCGCAGCACTTAGTGCGAAGGAATAAAATGTTATGGCTTCAGAAACAAACAAAGCCATACCCATTCTCGACATAGATTTCCCCATAGAAAACAAAAAACAAACGCAACAAACTAAACATGCAGGAGTTTTTCATCATAATCTCGACCTGAACACTGCGAGCGAGAAACCGTCTGTCACTCTTCGACGAAATCTTCGTTTCATTCACGCGGTTCTCCTTCGTAGGGCTGAACCGTACTTCCAACTTAATAATGTAGACATCGTTATCGGCCATGATTTCAAGAGTATTTCAAGGCTGACTGATACAAAATTACAAGAGATGAGGGGATTTTTAAGTGTCAACTGAGAGTTTTCACAGTTTTCTTCGTCATCACCCGCTAATTCGTTATCATTCCACGGGACACTTTTAAGACAAAATACGAGCACTTTAGGGCCCGAAAAAACTGAGTGTTAAGTATTTGAAACTTTTCTTCTATCAGAACTGGTTTTTGTATATGATAAGCCAAAATTTTTACGGAAAAAAAAAATTCGTGTGATAGGGACTTTAAGGCAATTCCTCAGAATTGCAGTGCCCATCCTGTACTTCGCATAAAAATAATGTAATCAGGCGAATAAACGCGCGCGTTAAAAGAAACACGGTATTGTTTTGCAATCGAACAGGTCAATAGGTATTTCACGATGCATGCAAGCTGCGAAATGCAATACCTTGAGTTATTTAACAGAATGATGGAACATGGGGACGGCGGGCAGCGAAAGGGCGGAATATCCTAAAACGCGGAAAGCCTTGTTGTATCAGGCAAACCTCTCACAAAATGGAATTACAATAAAATGAGAAAATTATTTATAATTTACCGGAAAAATTAAAAGAAACATAGGAAATCATTCTTGTAGCCCAGAGGCTAGGGGAACCATGATCTAGCCTCTTAGTATATTAATATCGTTTTCATCATCATTATTGAGACGTGTTTTTTTGTGTTACCATTTAAATATTGTTATAATATCAATAAGTCAGTAAATTTTTTATTCGTCTTTCTTTTGTGGAACAGGATACTCATATTATTGTGGTCACTGTCAACTTTTGTCTTTGTGAGAAGTCCATGTCAAACCTTTGACTAACCTGGAACTTTCAAATACGCTGGCTTACGATGCAAAACTTGTCCTTTCATTCATAACTTGGAGAAAATATTAGGACCCAAGAGATCCATTACAGGGGAACTCAGGGATAAAAACGGAGTCATTTTGCACGTTTAGCTATGTTCCCTTGTTCGATTTTTGATAACCTTTTGTGTTGACCGTTCGTTTCAACCGAGATACGTTACTTGAAATGAGAGCCAAAAACACGATTAGAATTCCGCCATCTTGTGAACTAACTGCATTCTCGTAATTGGTCAGCGTGTATTTGTGTGAAGTCAAATAGTCAAGAAATATGATCCTGTCTTCTTGTTTAATGAACAAGCGACATATGGCTATGTCCGAGTCTGCCTTAGTTAACGATAGTTTTGCCGACGAAGAAAGTGGTATATGAATAGCTTTTCCATTCAGCCCAATCAGTTTGAGCCACGTAGAAACTCAAATGAAAGCGAGGGCAATAATGAGAGCATGTCGGGCGAGGAAGGCATGAAGGAAAACACAAACTACGTCTTTGTTACTGAATACCTCATACACTGTAAATACCAATAAAATCTTCTATAATCCAAAAGGCTCATACTAATTTTATTTCTTGATATAGCTTCCGTTTATTTCTTTTTTACCCGCGGAGCATTTTCTAAAATCTTAGTGTTCATCCGAGAACTGCCAGTTTATGGAAAGAACCGAGGCATGTATTTGCCGTCAAGAAATAACGGCAGGGAAAAAATAAAATTATTGAGGCAGTTATCAGTGGTGAATGTCAAGAGGAACCTAAATGCATTACGCAGCATCCAGGTTTTCATCCAGTTTGCATAAACAGGTGGGTGTTACAAATTGCCTGGTATCAGTACAAACTGTACAAAGATCCAGACAGTCCTAACTCTAGTAGACATGGTTGCATCTTCAAACTCTGCTTGAATTGCCGTACTTTTGATTGTAAGAGGTTGATGAGAGCACTGAATTCCAACATCGCACATCCTGATACGAAACAATGACAGTATACTGAGTTTGTTATGGAAACTTTAATTCTTTCAGAAGAATACTTATGTACGTTCATATATCTAGCCAGAAAGGACAAAAAGTAAGCCCGTTTTAGAGTCAAAAATGGAGAATAGGGTACCCTTTACTGCATAGCTTGCACTTATTGCAAAAAGTTATACATTGGTGAAACAGGAAGACGACTGGGCTACCGATTCCGAGAACACCTTCGCGACGTAGAGAGAAATGACAAGGACGCATCTAAACCAGTCCCTAGACACTTTAATCCGTCAATCTGGGCAGCATATGGAAGTCTGCCGCCTTACACTGCGTCTAGGCAGTTTGGAAAGCCGCAAATCTAAAGAACAAAAATGTATCTTTTAAATCGGAACTCTTAATCCTCATGGTATCAACGAGCACTTTTCATTCAACTAATTTATTCTTGTTTTCTCGTCACCATATTTCTACCAATAGCGCAGTTCCATTTTCTGCATACAAACCCACACACAACCCACAATTCCTTCAATCGCTCTTACGAAGGGCTTATGCTCGAAACGTCAGCTTTTAAACTCTTTACGGTGGCCAATTTACGTTATCAACTCAGTTGTTAATACTAAATGACCTTGTATTTTTGTTCAATGCAAAAAAATTGTGCTATACCAGTAGCCACATATGGTCTAAGACTGCCTACTTTTGGTTTTGCAAATATTTTTTTGTTATTCATAGCATATTCTATCATTAAGTGACTGTTTACTCCCTAGGGCCGTATTCCAGTGAACAACTTTTGAGGCGTTGTTGTATAACACGTTCCACCAAAAGTGATGTGTAAGTACAGGCATTGAGTACGTCCTATAATATCGCTACGCATTAAATTTTGTGAATAGATGACGGGAAAATTGCTGACTTACTTCAGCAGGGATACAGAATGCCTCGACCACAACATGTCGATGATAAGTTGTAAGCTACTCCAACCTGTTTTTTTCTTTTTTTAAAAACTGAAACCAAATCTACTAGGGCAGACATCTATCATTCATCATTCGTCTTAAGCTCCTTCAGAAATACTTTGAGTTGAGCTGCACTTGACTGATGTCTTTCTTGTTAATTTTCTGATAATATTTGGTATTTTCATGTTTAAAAACCGCATTCTAGTTTATAAACACCAGATATCAGATCATGATGAAATGCTGGAAAAATGACCCGGATGCAAGACCAACACTGACTTAACCCTTTGCGTACCAACTGGCCATATATATGGCCAGCTAATCACAACTCCCCTCTCGGAGACCATAAAACGAGATCTAAGGGCCTGGACGCGATTATTTCATTCTGTGCCAGATTACATGAAGTTATTTTGCAGTTTTGCTCGATTTTGCTCGATTTTCGCTTAAATTGAGACGAATTTTGAGAGTTTCTCATAAGTTAAACATTTTCAGCACGGTGATTTAAAAATGGCGGCTCTTAACCCCGATCGCACACTCGATTTTTGCTCCGCAAACGATCAAAGCAATGTGGAAATTCGCTTTGTTGACGAGGATGACTTCCCTCTTATAAACATAATGGGGCATCGAGCCTCTGAAGAAGAATTTTACTCCGATGAATCGCAATCCAGCGAACAGGAGTCCAGTGAAGACTCGGCTGATGAGAGCACACAGGAGGTAATGGAGGTCGTGGAAAGAGAGTGGTCCAGAGAAATTAAACGAAGAAGAGATATTGACTTTAAAGAAAACCCTGGAATAAATGTAAAAACCAGAGATCTTAAATCGTGTTTGGATTTCTTCTCACTTTTCTTTACACCAGAGGTATAGCAGTTATTAGTTAGTCAGACCAATTTGTATGCAGAACAGAAAAGAGGCTCGAGGGAAAGTTCTGTATGGTACCCAGTCACTGTGGATGAAATGAAAGCTTGGTTAAGTCTTTATTCAGATATGGGCCTAGTCACTAAACCAAGTATCAGTTCTTATTTGCATAATTATGCTAATTAGGTGGCTCGTGACGTCACAAAAGTATCATATCCCATAATTTCTCTAACTCATATGAAAGCATATTTTCCTAGCTTTCTAAATATGTATAGGTCTGCAGGTGTCTGTGATAAAGAACAGACTTGGCAAGCATTGTTGTAACTATGCCTATTTTTGTGTGAAATAAATACCACCCCCCTTGGTATGCAAAGGGTTAAGAAACCAGCTGAAAGATATGGAAACCTTACATAAGGTGGGGATTTATTAACTCTTGGCGGTGTTTCGGGCTCAAATCCTGATGGAATTGATCAATCAGATTGATAAATGATTCCAATGAACAATAAGAAGGTTAAAACCCCAACTTGTGAGACTAAACCGACTGGACGGACACAAGCCTGGCGATTTCAATGCCCAGCTATGCTGTCTCGTTGGAGATTGATAATAGAAGTGAAGGTAAGTCCATTAAACTTGTTCCCTCACTCATCCTTTGCAAGTTTCGCAAAATTCCGTGTTCGTGGATAAACATTGAGGACATGAGACGAACAAAACCTGTGAGGATTATGAATATTGCTCTGAAAATTGCATATCTAAATTACATCTTGGTCTGAATATCTCAATAAATAAAGTTTAATGAAATGTTCATCGATGCATTTGTGGTATTTTGTCGCCTTCGTGGACCGAAATTACTTTAGGCCGGAGGCCGTTCAGGGAAGAAATGAAGACAAAGCTTGCAACTTGGTGTCAACTTGGTGGCTGCCAGCCGAAAGGAATTATGCCGTTAGTTAACGGCTTAAATCTTACCACATTAATATTACACTGTAAGAAATTACGCCTGGATTGGATCGGATGGGATCACGGACCGGATCACGGATCGAATCACGGATCGGAAACTCACATTAAATGAAAGCCATATGAGATGCAGTAATATATTGCAAAAGGGAAAGGGACTCAGAAGATATATGTCTATGTGTAGCCTCTCAATTATGGAAAGTTAACCATTCAATGAAATAAAACTTGTCGATAACACGAAGATTATGATCAGTTTGCGTAAAGCGAAACCATGCAGTGATTTTTGCAGGTGAAGAGTTTTGTGGTGGCGAGTTTGTTGCGGTGGCCAGTTGATTGGATACCAAGAAGAAGATTTGGATGCCAGTTCCCGTGCGCTGTTCGCTAGCTCAGCCAAGCCTGGACATTAGCTCCCGTAACAGCCGCTAACTATGGCTTTAAAGTAAAGGCGTTTAGTTTTAATTTGCAAAACTCGTTGAAAAAGTCTATAACAGTTAGACGCACGCGTTGCTCACTAGTTTAGGTTTAAAAAACTGTTCGAATCTGCTCGTTAGACTAAAATTTTTTCCTTTCCGGTTGCAATTTTGCATTTCTGTGGTCTTTTTTTCTCAGAAAAGTTGAAAATTTTGTGCAAGTGCGACCAGATGATCTTAGAACTGGACTAATCGGAAAAAAAATACTGTGTTATCTCTTGATCTTTAGTTCAAAATGCTCGTAGAATTTAATCGCTTGGCGTGTAAAAAATGCAATTCAGCTAAAGAGTAAATTAGCAAGTTCATTAAAGAAACTAAAATTATTAATGCGTAAGGATAACGAAAAGTAGCAAGTGAGATGATATTAAAAAAAAGGAGAGGTAATGACTGAGTGGTGAAATGATGCGTACCTCTTGCTTGCCTTCTTCCATGGCGGCAATACTAAACATTAGTTGGAGATATATATCTGCAGATTATTGGAGATAACAGAGTCGTATATGTTGAAACGCACTCATGGACCACCTAAACAAGGTCTTTTTGAGGTCTCAAAAAAACAAAATACCTTCAGTTACTGAAGATGAACTGAAGTTGTAGCAGAAATGTGTCTACCTTTAGATGAAGAGTAAAATGAAAGGCAGTGAATTGTACGTGATGGTACGGTTTTGAACTTCAACATAATTCTTTTAGTAATTACACGAGCTGCAGGCTTTGCAAAATACAAGTCATCATCAACTAAAAAACAGCACTTCTCGTTGCCTTTGCTCGATGTTCATGAACTAATTTAGTTGCTATTTCTAAAGTTATTAGTTTTCACTCTTTATATGTCGAGGGAGATATAGATAACAAATAATCCAAGCGACCAAAGAATCGGGTAAACCATTTTATGGCGGTGCTTGTCCACTCCAACGAAAAAATCCCCTTCTATAGACTACTATCTAAAATAACAGAAAATTTGTCTCCAAGAAAAAAAAACCAAAAAAGTGGGAGGAAATAGTTAGATCAGGGTGATCAGGTAAAAATAACCGTTTTGGTTTCCTGCAAAACATTGGTTTGGAAATGAATTTTGAGGTGGCAAACGTGTTACTTTAAAAATGTGTCGTCGACTTCACGCGTTACCTAAAAACCGTTTATGATTTAATTAAAAAGAGTAACTAAGAAGAGAAAAACGCGAGACCTTTGTTTAAGTGAAATTAATCAATGTAACGTTCATTCATTTAATGTCGGAAATAACCTAAACATACCCCGTCATAAAAAATTCTCAAGTGGTTTTACCAATGTCTTTTAAATACCCCGTCGCAGCAAACAAACCAACAGACTCTGAAAACTTCAAAGCAAACATTTGAACTTACTTACAGTGTCTTTCCTTGTCATTCAAAGCTGACTGAGCAGAGGTGAATCCTTGTATATTAATCGTCCATGGAAGTGAATAATACGTATATGTTATTCGCTGACCGGGAACAAACCAAGGCTGGTGAATAACATTTTTATTTTTTCTAAAACTTAACAAAATGCTTTCAGAAAGAACCCAAATGATTTAGGGCTGTTATTTTGTGTCAGATTGTGACAGGAACTTATAAAGCAAATGTTTCGAGTTTGCTAGCAATCTTTTCAATCATTCAGTTCATTCGCCCTTCTATCTGCCAACCTATCAATAGCAAACTTGAACGAAGACATATTGATATCGGTAGAAATGAAGTGCTCATCCGTTAAATCCTGGCCAAACAATTTTCCAGCCCATCCAAAATTGCCGAAGTTGCCGCTATTCTCAGAAAAAAAATGACGACTGCATCACACCTTTTTGCTCGGATCCGCTCGTTTCATCGCCTAACCTCGCTCCTCCCCCTCCTCTTCTCCTCTAAAGTGTGGTTTTTATAGTTAGACCTGTTCTTCTCCTTGCTGTTGTTTCCGTAACATAATTACCATACGAACCACGAGTGAAAGTTATCCTGCTAAATTGTTATTAGTCAGCTTCCAGGAATCAGTGTTTCTGATGTACCACACGTAGAGCGATTTTCCATTTTATTTCGCTCGTTATCACTTCTTCTGTTGTTGCCTGTTTTACTAAACGTTTGACAAACCATGCTAAATTACAATATCATTACATAATGAAATTCCGCGTTGGATCTGAAAACTTATTTCTGAAATATTATTTCGTTGGAAGAGGATTAAATAAGTCTCGTGATGGCCATGCCGGCCTTATAATCGTCTTTTTATGACAGGAATAGATGTTTTATTTGCAAGAAAATAATGATATAAATTTTGAAAATTATAATCAACGACGATTTTGAGATGTTGCTGAAAAAAAGAAAAACCCAAATAGTGATTAAAAAAAGCACATTCTCCCAACGCCCTGAGCATGAAAGGCTGATTAAATGTCATTGCATATACGCAATTAACGCATTTTTGTTCTTGCGCATTGAATTTTAAGTGATTGTCTATAAAAAAAATTGGTAAAACCACTTGAGAATTTGTTATGAGAAAGTTTCAGCTAAGTTGAAGTGAGCTCTTTTCTTTATTTATGAACACTCTTCATCTTGCGAGGTACGAATTTCGACATTTTTTAACCATTTAACCATCAGTTAATAAATTGAATACTTATTCCGTCCGTTGCCTTTGTTTTATATACCGATGGATAATAGATAGTAAGTAGCTAAATGCATGCGACTGTAACGATAATCAAAGATTTTACTGAATGTCTTGAAATGAGCATGCGCGCAATTACAAAGTCAACAAGTGCCGATGGAGTTGTGGGTAACTGAAAGTGTTATCACGTAATCTTTTTGTTGTCACGGATAAGGAAATTACGATGATGGCTCTTGGAATATAAATACCAATGTTCAATTCTTCATTAGCCACCCGTTTCAATGAATTGGCCGGAATGAAATTTGGTTTTATCTCATATTTGATCACATTTCTTGGTGTCATTCACTTCTCAGGTAAGTCACTGTCTTACAAGCATGCTAAATAAGTTGCCGTGGGCAAGGGACTTTTAATGTCTCGGACAATC